CTTCACGGATTTTCATGCGCTGAAGAGAAAATCAAAAGAAATCTACGCTAGACATCGTTTCATTCATGAATATTTCATGAATGAACATTTTCTCCGCGCAATTTTTAATACGTACGATATTTACAAATGTTTATTATTAAATATAAAGTAAAAGCCCGAGTGTATCGAAAGAATCCTGTATGACTGACATTACTGAAACATGTTTATATTTTGACCAAGCCATCGGATAATTGACAAGTGATAATAGTTTGATTGAACAATTATACACAGGTGACAGAAATACTCGATAATCATATGGCTTATGTCACACGCCAAGGATGAGTAAAGGTAAATTCCGGCTATGATAGAAAAGTGCATGTTTTTGTCAAAACATTGATCGGAATGTTTTGATGCCAAAAACATTTGAAAACTTATTAAATACTAGCTATTTCACATTCCAAATGGGTTTTAGGACCTTCACTCGTCCAGCATGCTCACAGTCATGTGGATCGTACATATCACAGCCTCCTCAGTGTTACGATTAACAATTACATTTGTACAAAAATCGTTACATGGATAAGGCAGACAAGTCAGCTTCTATTTAGAATAACTCAGTGTATCAAAACAAGTGCTGTAGCAATTATTTACATAATTAAATAAAATCTGTCCATGTAATAGCAAAATGACTTTCTTACTCTTAGTGTTTAACCATGCAGTGGCAGATCCAGAACTTTTTATCCTTACTCCTGTATCAGTATGATTCTTAAAGATTGACCTGTAATTAACAGTGTGTCATCTCAACACAGAGAATGATTACTATAGTATATCAAATGAATGGCTGAAAACCAAAAATCTCAAATGTTATTGCCTCAATGCTAAATTTCACCGCATCAACTATAAAATGTGTTACAGGGTTATAAATGAATTTAGTGTATATAAACTTTTTATTCCTGTCGTCATACTGCTATTGTTATGTCCCCACCGTATTAAGTTTTACCCTTTTTGTCGAGCCTTCGACTTAAGTCGAAAAAGCAAGACATAGCGATCCTACATTCCGTCGTCGTCGGCGGCGTCCACAAATATTCACTCTGTGGTTAAAGTTTTTAAAATTTTAATAACTTTCTTAAACTATCCTGGATTTCTACCAAACATGGACAGAAGCTTGTTTATGATCATAAGATAGTATCCAGAAGTAAATTTTGTAAAAATAAAATTCCTGTTTTTCCGTATTTTACTTGTAAATGGACTTAGTTTTTCTGCCGGGAAACATTACATTCACTCTGTGGTTAAAGTTTTTAAAATTTTAATAACTTTCTTAAACTATCCTGGATTTGTACTCAACTTGGACAGAAGCTTGTTTATGATCATAAGATAGTATCCAGAAGTAAATTTGTTAAAAAAAAAAATTCCTTTTTTCCGTATTTTACTTATAGATGGACTTAGTTTTTCTGCCAGGAAACAATACATTCACTCTGTGGTTATAGTTTTTAAAATTTTAATAACTTTCTTAAACTGTCCTGGATTTGTACCAAACTTGGACAGAAACTTGTTTATGATCAAAAGCTAGTATCTAGAAGGAAATTTTGTTAAAATTTGTACCTGTTTATCCATATTTTACTTATAAATGGACTTTGTTTTTCTTCCAGTTAACATTAAATACAGTCTGCAGTTGTTTTTCTTCCAGTTAACATTAAATACAGTCTGCAGTTAAAGTTTTTAAAACATTTATTAGATTCATAAAATATCCTGGATTTATACCAAACTTTGACAGAAGCTTCTTACAATCAAAAGATAGTATCTAAAGGAATATTTTTATTGATTTTTTTCCTCATTTTTGTTGAGCCTGCGACTAACATCAAAAGTAGGCAAGACACTGGGTTCCGCGGAACCCTTACGAATTTTTCTTCTGTAAGTATGTACGTCCCTTACTTGTACATACGTCCGTACATCCCAAAATTGGTTTCTGTTCTCTAACTTTAGTTTTCCTAAACCAAGTTGTATGAAACTTATACGCAATGCTTATTACCACATAACACAGGTCAAGTTGAGTTTTGGTGGCGTCGATTTTACAATGCTAGAGATATGCTCCTTAATAAATGGAAAAGTTGTTTGAATTTTTTGTTTACGATCTCTAACTTTAGTTTGTCTCAACCATGTCAACCAAGTGTTATGAAACTTATACACAATGATCATTATCACAAAACACTGATTAAATTTGAGTTTTGGTGGCCTCAGTTTTACTGTTCTAGAGTTATGCATTTTACAAATTTAAAAATTGCTGATTTTTGTCGAGCCTTCGACTTTTGTCGAAAAAGCGAGACAGCAATCCTTAACATTTCGTCGTTGGCGTCCACAAATATTCACTCTGTGGTTAAAGTTTTTGAAATTTAATAACTTTCTTAAACTATCCTGGATTTGTACCAAACTTGGACAGAAGCTTGTTTATGATGAAAAGCTAGTATCTAGAAGGAAATTTAGTTAAAATTTTGTTCTTGTTTTTCCGTATTTTACTAATTAATTGACAGCTTTTCTTCCAGTTAACATTACATACAGTCTGCAGTTAAATTTTTCAATACGTTTATTAGATTCATAAACTATCCTGGATTTTTACCAAACTTGGACAGAAGCTTCTTACAATCAAAAGATAGTATATAGAGGAATATTTTTATTAATTTTTTTCCTCATTTTTGTTGAGCCTGCAATTAACAGACAAAGTAGGCGAGACACCGGGTTCCGCGGAACACTTACAAATTTTTTTCAATTCCGTGCTCAGACTTTAGTGTGCTTCAACCAAATGTTACGAAATTTATACACAATACTTTTAACCACAAAACCAAGATCAAGTTTGAATTTTGGTGCCGTTATTTTACTGTTATGGTTAGCAATGGTTAAGGTTATGCCCAGTTACAAATGGAAAAAACCTATAAAATCACAGGTCCTAGATATGGCATGGGCACATAAAGAAATTAACAGAGCTTTCTGTACATTTGATTATTTTAGAACAACAGTTTAAAGGTTGCAATAGAAAATATCAAAATTTTATATGACAAACATATGAAAAAAAGTGATTTTTGATAATTGCTAAAAAGAAAATGGTTTAGTAAAAAAACAAAAAACCGTGATTAAATACATATTTGAAATAATACGCATCTATAACCTATTTGAAATAATACACATCTACAGTTGCAAACTTCCCAGAGGTGCTATCCAGCACTTTGATTCTGCCAGTTAACATTACATTCACTCTGTGGTTAAGGTTTTAAAAATTTAAATAACTTTCTTAAACTATCCTGGATTTGTACCAAACTTGGACAGAAGCTTGTTTATGATCAAAAGCTAGTATCTAGAAGGAAATTTTGCAAAAATTTGTTTCCTGTTTTTCTGTATATTACTTATAAATGGACTTAGTTTTTCTTCCAGTTAACATTACATACAGTCTGCAGTTAAAGTTTTTAAAACATTTATTAGATTCATAAACCATCCTGGATTTTTACAAAACTTGGACAGAAGCTTCTTACAATCAAAAGATAGTATCTAGAGGAAAATTTTTAATAATTTTTTCCCCATTTTTGTTAAGCCTGCGACTAACAGCAAAAGTAGGCGAGACACTGGGTTCCGTGGAACCCTTACGAATTTTTCCCAGCAGTGGGAGTATTTTTCCTGTAAAATTCAAGGTTTCATCTTACAGATTATGTAATAAAATTTTACTGTTCGCGATCAAAATTTCACTGTTCGGGGGTGTTGAAATTAGTGGGGTTATTAAAATAATAATACTTAAAGAAGTGATTTTTTGGAAGAAAATAGAGGTATGATACTTAAACAAGTGATTTTTATGTCATTATCCCAGATTTAGTACAAGGGTCATCACCTGACATGACTGGTCATCCTATCAACACAGATGTTGGTTCTGAAAATTTAAGCAACATAATTAGTCCCTGGATCATTAGTATTGTATATTTAAAGCTACAATAAAATTAAATCACTTAGTCTAGTGATTTATTTGTACTAGGTGATTATTAAAGAAAGACAACACTTACTTCCAACATTTGTGGACAAAATGTTACTTGAATCAGTGATTTAGAAATCATTCATTTAAGTAAGTCCCCTGACTGTTGTATAGTGTGTTGACTCTATTGTCTCTCATCCATTAACTTTTATTACAAAAACTCATGAAATTCAGTCCAAAAAAAGAAGTGTCTAATATGTTTTACAATGATAACCTCATGGTTTTAAAGGGTACAATGATAACCTCATGGTTTTAAAGGGGCATTAGCTGTCAAATTTATGTTCAACTATTTGACTCAAAATCTCATATTTGATTTATAACATACTAAAAGGTATATCTAAATTATAAAAAGTCTAAAATAAGCAATTTACGATGCATGGGCTTGATAATATGTATCAGAATTGCGTGTATTTAAGTCTAATTAACCATTGTTGTGACCTCCGAAGACTGCCGACGGTCATATAACCCAATATCATTATAAATATAGAAAGAATAGAAAGTGAACCCGTGCAATTGGATTTTTCTAGCTCTGTGTGATTTCATATTATAGGTTAAAAATATATTTTTATCATCGTTTTTACCTATATAAGAATGAGTTTTTGTGTATCGGATCAGTCAATCAAATGGTTTACCTATGTTTCACTTTCAATGTTGACATTCTTTTCCTTTTAATAACTGAACACGCCTAATTCATGCATAACCCATCTCTAGCTAAGGGGTTAAATTGAAGGTTACATGAATATGGATTCAATGAGTTCGAATTATTCACTTGCAAAAACTCTTGCAAGTGAATTATTCATCAGCGATGTTTCTTAGCTTATTTTGACAAAATCTGAACCAAACTGGCTGCTAAAAGCGAATTATTATTTCACTATTTCACTTTCTTTAACGATTGAAGCCCCTTTAATGAAAAGTTTGAAAAGAATACATTTGTACTGGCATAAGCTTACATTTTTTTTTATCTCTTGAAAATATATCATATTCATAATAATTGGTGATTCTTTTATTATTACAGATTATACTTGCTTAGAAGAGAATTCAATTCTGCCAAACAATACCTACAGCTGTCCTGTAATACAGTAAGTTAGAAGCCGTATATGCAATAACTTTTTATCATGTATTTTATTGATAGATACTTTATTATATAGTTATTTAACTTTTGTACTCTTTTTATTGTTAGCAGGAAAAACAAATGTTCACAATTATGAAAATATAGAATTTCCTTTGTTTCCTCAAAATCACTATTTTGTAAGTTGTGTTATTTTCATAGAAATGACCAGGAAATGTTTAAACAAAACTAATTTCAACATTCAGAATATTTACAGTACGAACAACAGATTTAATAAGAAATAACTCTTAAATAACATATAGGTCAGCGGCTCATTTCACAAAAAATCTTATGAGAAAAAATACTGGTAAGTCATGAACATTTTAGTATAACTTACAATCAAGTTTTGTCGTAAGATTTTTTGAGAAAAGAGTCCCAGTTTTGTTTCATCTCAATAGACAATTTCTGTTGAAAATTTTATGTTTAGACTTATACTTTCATAATCTAATCTAACTTATATGTTTTTATTTTGATAATTTATACAATGTCCTAATTCACTTATGCATCTATTGTCTGTAAAAAGTGAATATTCAGATAGACATCACATGTTGAAGAAAATATCTACTATTTCAGACCTGTTTTTGATAAAGGGAATGTTGAAAAAGGCAAAGACTTTTTCTTCAATAATGATACACATTATAATATACCAAAGCTTGGTAAGTATAAACTGTTTGGATATGAGGGAGGTGATTAAAACTAAAGGGACATTCAAACTCATGTCGAAAACAAAATGACAATCCCATGGCAAATATCGAAGAACGACATAAAGACAAACAATAGCACACAGAACAAAAGACTTAAGACTAAAGACTGAGCAAAACAAAGACCACCAAAAACCAGGAGTGATTTCAAGTGCTTATGAAGGATAAGCAGATCCACATGTGGCATTTGTTGTGTTGCTCATATAAGTATAAACCCGTTAATAAGTCAAATCTGTAGGTGGCATCCAAGAGGACACAATTGTGGTTACGACAATTGGAACATATCTGTTGTCATCTGTGAAACAGACATTCCATAACCATCAACCAACTGGTGATATTGATTATAAATAACCATCTATTACAATTGCTGTTGTGGCTACATCTTTAGTCAACACATATAAAATTTTAAAAAGTCTAAAACAATAAAATGTCAAAATGTTTTCATGAAATAGATAGTCTAAACCATAAGCAAACAATATGTTTGCTGTTGATGTTTGAAGCTTTGGTTTTATAGAATGTATTTGTGATTATTGCCCTTCTTTAATTTGATGTTGAATCTGGGCTACTATCATCCTATCATTACTCAGCTTTAAAAAAAAAAAAAAACTCAAGGGTCAATGGAAAAAAAAAGAAGGCCAACTCTATAAAGCACACCCACAAAATGTTCTTGTGTTGCTTTACCATTGCCCCCTTTTTCGTAAGAACACAAATTCAAAGGATTTGTCATTTGATCAAGGTTTTCCAAATAAAATGTTCCAATCTCTTGCTTTCATATTTAAAGGCATTCAAGACAATTATTGAATAATTATACAATTGAATTCAGGGTTTGTAGAAAAGGGGGTACATGTCCATTATGGTTAAATAAGAGTGAAGCAAATGGAGGCAAAATTTATTTTGACAATTTAAGCCAAAAAATTATGTACTCATACAGCATAGCAAGCTATAAATGGCCCCAACATGACAAATGTTAAACCATTCAAACGAGAAAACTAATGGCCTGATTTATATATGAAACAATGAATGAAAAACCAAAAAAGATATACAGTATAATGCCACAACCACTGAACCACAGGCTCCTGACTTGGGACAGGCACAAACAGAATGTGTGGAAGGGGGAGGTTTTAAACATGTTGGCACGCCCAACCCTCCTTACCCTGGGACAGTAGTACAATAGCACAACCCAAGAACAAACTGTTCAATACATTTAACAACAAATTGTACAAAACAATAAAAAATAAGCATTGTAAAATAAAATTAATGCTTTTTGATTCAAGTACTTTTAAATTCTCTTCATTGAGGCTAAATGAAGAGAAAACTTTTTCGATAATATAATTATCATGATATGATTAGACCAAGACAGAGTTATGTCGACAAAAATACCAAGTACATTTTTACCGTGACATTCATTAATATGTTAGCCATTATTGGATATTTTAAATGTTTCATTGTTCAGGGGAGGGATTTTAACCCACTATGCCTTTACCTGATTCCGTCACTTATCAAGGACTAAGTATTTTGTCAATACACATGATAATAATTGCTCAGTAATATGATATGGATCCTGTTAACTGACAGTAACTGCTATATTACTTTTGGTTTTCTAACATGACAGTGCATCCTTTGAAGTGAAGAAGGTTAGAATCAGCAGCAGACTTAAGTTTGTGTAATAACCCTGCTGATAAAATTACTTTTGTTTTAAAAAGCACACATTTTATAATAGCAGATGTTGGCTCTACATCAATAGAGATCAGAACAGAGAAAGAACACTGTGGATTCATTATTATTCAGGGGATACAAATTTTCATGTATGTTATGTATATGAAGAAACCACAAATTTAAATGTTCAACAAAATATAAAATTTTTCAGAAGCTTGATCCATGAAAATACAATTTCCTCAATATTGGAAAAATAAGTACGGTCAAAAAAGGAATGAAACCACAGTATGTCAAATCTGTGTATATTTTTTGTCCAGCATCCTCAGGTTTTTTTTAGCTCACCTGGCCCAAAGCAAGTGAGCTTTTCTCATCACTTGGCGTCCGTCATCCGTTGTCGTCGTTAACTTTTTACATTTTGAACTTCTTCTAGAGAACCACTGAATGGAATGAAACCAAACATGGCATGAATGTTTCTTATGAGGTGCTGACCAAGTGTTGTTACTTTGAAGCCGATCCATCATCCAAGATAGCCGCCAGCGTGGGACTTAGTTTAACAGAGGACCCTATGGGAAATACATACAAATGTCTTCTTTTAGAGAACCACTGAATGGAATGAAACCAAATATTGCATGAATGCTCCTTATGAGGTTCTGACCAAGTGTTGTTACTTTGAAGCTGATCCATCATCCAAGATGGCTGCCAGCAGGGGGACTTAGTTTAACATAGGACCCTATGGGAAATACATACAAATGTCTTCTTGCAGAGAACCACTGAATGGAATGAAACAAGAGATGGCATAAATGTTCCTTATGAGGTGCTGACCAAGTGTTGTTACTTTGCAGTCGGTCCATCATCCAAGATGGCCGCCAGCGGGGGACTTAGTTTAACATAGGACCCTATGGGAAATACATACAAATGTCTTCTTTTAGAGAACCACTGAATGGAATGAAACCAAACATGACATTCATGTTCCTTATGAGATGATGACCAAATGTTGTTACTTTGCAGTTGGTCCATTATCCAAGGTGGCCGCCAGCGGGGGACTTAGTTTAACATAGGACCCTATGGGAAATACATACAAATGTCTTCTTTTAGAGAACCACTGAATGGAATGGAACCAAACATGGCATGAATGTTCCTTATGAGGTGTTGACCAAGTGTTGTTTCTTTGCAGTTGTTCCATCATCCAAGATGGCTGCCAGCGGGGGACTTGTTTAACATAGGACCCTATACGAAATACATACAAATGTCTTCTTTTAGAGTACCACTGAATGGAATGAAATCAAACATGGCATGAATGTTCCTTATGAGGTGCTGACCAAGTGTTGCTACTTTGTTGCCGATTTACTGTTCAAGATGGCCACCAGGATATTTTATTAAATAACGGGACCAATATTAAACTAAATTTGGCCTCAATCATTATTTGGGTATCTGTTATGATTTTTATCTATCTTTACATGATTTCTAAAACCAAAGTAGAGTCAGGTGAGCGACACAGGCTCTTGAGAGCCTCTAGTTATGGTTAAAATATTTTTCTTTTGTATTTAGTGATCACTGCTTTTAACTCTTATTTAGAAAAGAAAACAACAAGTATTAAAAACAGTAAAAAAGTTGTAGAAATGAATACCCCTTTAAAATCAGGCATACGAAAGTTGTACTTATATGACTATCTTAATAATTGTTAATGATGTTTATCTATGAAAAAAACCTTCAAACATGTTTTAATTTAACTAAATTTTTAGTTCAGAAGTGGGGTGAGGGTCAGCTTTAATAAATTAATTTTTTTTATTTAAATTTGCCAAGCCCAATGGCCATTGTGAATAAGCTTTCTCTGCAGCTTTAACACCTATAAATTGAAACCATATATGCAGGCACAAGCTGCTCAAGTATAGATGTATCTGTTGATCCATATCTAATAACTGTAAAAAATTTGCCTTAGATATTAATATGGTAACATTTTGAAATTGAATTGCAACTATTGGATTTGGTTTTATTTAGCTGAGTTTGTATTACAATAAGTTTGGCCAATGTCTAGTCCTTTCATTTCATCGAGTTCACATGTCCAAACAAAATCCCTGACAGGGCAATCATGTATTATCAATTAAGACATGAGAAACATCTTTTCTAACTTCTAATATATATAGATTTATTTAAGGACAAAATAATTTGGAAAATTCTGTACAAATAAGATATAAGGTACCGGTATGTAATCTTAAGGCAGTAAAACAATTTTCATTTAAAACATTTTTTAATATGCTTATATCATCTTAGACAACTATAACTTCAGGGATCATGTACATGCATGCATCAGACCAGAACATAAGAAACCATAATATGCCTGTTATACATGTACAGTTGTTAATAAGATAGAAAGAACACCCAGAAGAGTTTAACACACACATGCGTAAATGAAATGAAGTTGTGAAAATGGAGCTTGTGATCAGATGATCCTGGCCCTAACTTAGCTTCTGGTCATCCCTGGGGCTTAAAAAAGCCTTATTGTATTAAAGCTTGTTTTTGTGTACTTGCCATGTAGGCTAATCAGATTACATATTTATTAGCCCACATCAAAAAGCACTTGCAAATGGCGAGTGGGCGACTGCTAATTTCAAACCATGCAAGACCAAGAGGTAAAGAAATTGCTTCCAAAGGGGTTGAATTAATTTGAAGGCTAGCATAACATCCTTGACTCTATTTTAGATAAGTTTAATACTAAGTGGTGCTAATTAAAAAAAGTTTATAAAACATATTTTTACTAAGTTCAAAAATAAAGATATGTGAATTGTTGACTCAGACAACTTGATAAACCCTGAAGGCTTATAAATTTAAGCTTGTGGTATAGTAAACATTGTATAGTACATGCAAATTGTTTTGTAGTGACATGGGTTATAAAGAATGATTTAACCTGTTATTGAGTAATCATTCAAAGCCATTGAGTATGCTATGAATAAACCAACAGCAGTAGTGTTGATATGATAGAATTTTATTAAAACAATTCTTTTTACATTTTCAGACAGTAAGAACAGAAAAAATGCCATCTGTGCCATTCTTTTGCTTGTATTTATCTACAGTAAGTACACATTTTCATAATACAATAAAAGAACTTCCATACCTCCATGTAATGGATCAGTTTAAAAATTAATGGCTGATGAAATAGGGTACAATTTTTAATCTCCATGTCAGAGCTGCTGGTCATTTTGGCTGGCCGCTCAAAATGTTTCGGTAAAATGATTTAAAAACCTTTCCCTCCAAGGCTAATAACATTTTATGATTGATGAATGATGACAAAATGAAGGTTCCGTTATATATGGACGATTTTTACTTTTGCTATTCAAGA